TCCCCACCCACCCAGATGCTGTCTGCCCTTCCTGAGCTCTATAGGCTAGGATGTGGGAGGAATGTGCAGAGCTTCCCTAGCACGTGGCTTCTCAGGACACCTGCCAGCGTCTCCTTGTCCTGGCGGCCTTTTCTGTCCCCCTCCAGCAGTCTCTCCACATTCCTCCCCCTCTCTTCCCTCTGGCCCTTCTCCAGATGCAGTGTGCTGGGCTGTGCCATGGCTTGCATGGTGCTTTGGGTTACTGTTTTGAGGGGACCAGATTTTTCCTTACTGTTTTCTCTAATTTTTGTTCTGGAGGCCTCTTCATATCCCAGCACTACCTTTTCTGGATCACGACATCTTTTCCCTGCTCTATGACGCCCAGTCATAGAGCAATTCCTCACCCTACCATCCATTCCTCCTCACTTCTTTGGTCACAGGCATTGCTATAGCAACTACTATACACTTGAGTTAAGTTCCTAAAAATATTAAATGCTCTCATACTTAACACATTCCCCGTCCCATCTCTAATAGAACTTTCTGACCCAGGTGGGAGTTTCACCTTGACCAAGTACTGGCAGTTTACAAAAGACACAGGGCTCCATTTCTTTCTCCTGTTTCCAACTGTACATGACAGTTGCTTATTTCAAAACTGTCTCTGATTACAGGTCATGAGAGTGGCTGAGAGGTCCTTGAACAAGGGACACTGAGTCCCAACAGTGGGATGACACTGTGTGGGTTCCTGGGGTGTGCAGAGAGAATCCGGGTGGCATTTGGAAGTTCTGGGGCTTTCGAGCCCCGAGCTCTGGAGTGCTAAGGTAGTCACTCAGCCCAAGGATGGCTGAAGGAGGAAGGAAAAAGATGCTCCGTGTGGAGGACAGGAGGATAGGTGCTGAGTGGGGGCCAGCAAACTCTGTGTCCATCGCAGCCTCTGGAGAAAGGAGAGCCCGCCCGGGGGCACCAGGGGCTGCCTGTGGCTGGCAGGACAAGTCTCCACCACCAACACTCCCCTCACACAGTCTCAGCCTCTTCCAACTGCACCTCATTTCTGGAGCAGCCTGTGTGTGTCATCAAAGCCGCCAGAGCTGGAGACTCCACCAAACCACTCCCTCCCTCCCGTCCCCTCCCACTGCAAACCATCATCTTGCAGGCAGACAATGAAGATAGGACAGCTATTCAGAAAAACGCGTGGCTTTGGAGGCTCAGGGCATGTCCCAACTGCACCTGCAGGTTTTCCTTTCCTGGGGCCGACGGGCACTGGCTGCGCTGCACCTGCCGCGGGCTAGCTCCCTGCCTTTCAGCCACATACCTCGTGCTGGGCGTGCAGGCCCTGGCCTGCTCCACATCCTGCTCGGCCCCGATGATTGCCCCTCCACTCCACTGACTTCTCAACACACTCTTCTCTCCGACTTTTGATTTTCTGTACTAACATGGCTATTAAAAACAGAGACAGGCACCAACCCCCTTAACTCTCCTGCTTACCTCTCTGTTTTCTTTAAAGAAAATCATGCCATAAAAACTTTTGCTCTTATTCAGTTCATTTTATTTTTCCACCTCCCCGTCCTCTTTCCTTCCTTCTTTCTCCTCAATCTTCTCTTTTCCAAGACAACAGCAAGTCTGATTTCCTAGATGGTTTGTTACTTGAGAACAGGGACAATACCCTTTTTTCCATCTCCCTTTTGTTGCCTAGTATATAGTCTGCAGATATTGGGTGTATTGCCATGCATATATCATGAATAAATCCAAACATGATTTTCAGGGTCCTTGGAAATAAGGAGGGTGCACCCACTTCTTAGTTAATAATTTGACTATAATTCCTAGGGCTGCCATATTCTTTTTTAAGATTTTATTTATTTATTTGACAGAGAGAGACACAGCGAGAGAGGGAACACAAGCAGGGGGAGTGGGAGAGGGAGAAGCAGGCTTCCCGCAGAGCAGGGAGCCTGATGCGGGGCTCGATCCCAGGACTCTGGGATCATGACCTGAGCCGAAGGCAGACGCTTAACAACTGAGCCACCCAGGTGCCCCTAGGGCTGCTATATTCTTTTCTGCACGTGCATGAATCAAAATACAGTACCAAATAATATTTAGAAATTCAAGGAGGCCAGCAGTCTGTCTTGTCCTTAGTCAAATTTACACTATCCAATTTAAGAACATAGCAAGTAGACCAAGGTGTGAATTTAGCTAGTTGAAGCTCCCATAACTTGGATGGATTTCTGACTTCTATTCTTTCATACAAACCATGCATCTTATTAATTTCTCTTTAATATTTTAGTACCTTAGAGCCAGCATAACAAACACATCAAGTCTTGAATGTAGTTAATCAGGACTGTAGTCATTAACAGTATGTTACTGATTGCTTTAGAAATTAGTAGTATCTTGACAGGAGAGAGAAATTCAAGACACTCTAATGTGTCTGTTAAGTGGAATAAACTACCATATGTATATCTGTGAGTTGTTTATGAGAGAGATGTGTGTGTGTGTGTGTGTGTTAATAGGAAACGTAATTTCACTAATACTAACTCCAGTCATGAAAATTCTAGTGTTGTTTACACTGAAGTTTTATGCTAGTTTCATGAGATTCATTTCTGTAAATACATTAGCTTACTAAAGATATTTTTAAAGATATCATTCAACTTTCTTTCACTGGCTAAGTAGCTTAAGAAATGTCACACATTTAATCAAATGTATCTCATTTCCAGGTTGTTGCTCTTCTTATTGAATCATTATATATGAGCTCCTGCTGAGAACACAAACATGCTCTAAGACAGGGCACAGATTCCACTGTCTAGTGCATACCTATATCAATCTATGTATTTGTATCATACTTCACAATTTACAAAATGATGTCATAGACATTATCTCATTCAATTCTTATAAAACCCTGTGTGATTGAGACACAGAAAGTAGGTATTATTCCCATTTTATATCAAATGTAATTTGATTAGTCTATAGCTCATACTTGGTTGGCCATATATTCCACTTTACCTGGGATTACATTGTCCCAGTATAATTATTAACATTTCCTTTCTCTCTATCTTCAGTTTCGATGACAGATACAACGTCCCCACCAAAATACACAGCAGTCTGTCATCTCACTTCTATCAGATTTTTAAAGTTTGTGTGACCCCTGCAAGGTCATGTGATACCTTTTGACAATTAGAGGCAGTCAGAGCTAGAACAGGGTCTGGGCTAGGCTACAAATTCAGCTACACCTTGACTAGCAACCTTGGGCCAGTTACTGGCACCCAAGAATGGCCACATCATCATTGTTGGTGTTCGCTACTAATCATGGCCTCTCATCATTGGCATCTTCTTCAGTTAGACCTCTTTCTTCGATACCACCCAAGATGGCCCAAGATACATTCTCCATTTGAGGGGTCTAGCCATTCCCTCTCCTTTCTGAAGGACTTCTGTCCTTCTCCTCGCAAACCAGCAATGGTCTTAGCCTCTGTTTTCTCCTTCTATGGTTGGTTGACCCTCATCTCACTTCTAACCCTGTGCTGACCATCGAGCCATGGAGTCTAACGGCTTGGCCACAATTCATGAACCCCATTCACCACATGTGGACTCTTGACAAGGCAAGGTCCCAGCCCAGTGTCTAGATTCCTATTGGTTCCAAATGTGGGCACATCCACATTCAAATTAGAAACTTCAACTAAAGAAAGAAAACTCCAAGGTGTTTCAGATGAGAACAGTGCCCTTGGAGAGAGTTATCAACAGTCTCACTCACTAGCATGCCAAGTACCAAGCACCTCTAGGGAGCCTTGAAGGAGCAATTTGAGGATTATTCAGGAAACAGGGGTTCTCAGTAATTTCAAACCTCAGGAGTATGTATGGCAAGAAGAACACATATTGCTTTAGAGAAAGGTCTTCAATGTTAGAACTAGATGAGGTCTGAATCTTGGCTTTGTTCTTGACTAGGTTAGGACACTGAAGGAGTTTCTTGATTTTCTTAAACTCCAATTTTCTCAATCTGTAGGATGAAGACAATAAGTAATGTTTATGTTTACCTCTTAGGATAGTTGTGAGAAATGAGTAAGATAAGAATGTTAAGGACTTAGCATAACACCTGGAACAAAAGTGCTCACTGGATTTCTGTATAATGTATTATTGAGATTGTGGGGATGGTTGTATCCCCCTTTCTGACTCTCTTGTATTTCTGAAGGAGTCATTAAGGAGGACTTGACCAAATGGTTTTAATTACTCTCCTGGACTGCCCTGGGCTTTGGAGCTAATCACTCCTACAGGGAGGTAGTGACACTAGCTCTAAATGTCTCTTGCAGGAAAACTTGTAAATTCCTCTGCTTCCTTCCGTGCCATTCTCCATCTTCAGGCTCACTGTTGCCCAGCTCTGGGCTGCCTTTGGAGATGGGGACAGGAGACAGGAAGGCGCACCTCAGGTTAAGGGGAGGACAGCCTGTATTTCACCCAATTTATTCAAATGCCTTTAAGTTGACAAGCTTCTCACCCAGGGAACTCTCTGTGAGTCTGGCTGGGGCCACATAATAGGGGTAGTGTAGAGCTCAACAGTCAGGAGGGAGGTGAAAATAAACAAGAGGATGTGTGTCTTAGGGGGAGGAATATTTTCTTGATGGATTAGGTAAGAGGCAGGAGGTACACAGAAAGCCACAAATTACCAACGATGGAACTGTGAGCAGTTAACCACTGCTCAGGTTAATGGCTCTCTGATAAAGACATTTCAAATGTGGAAGCATGCTTTGTTTCATGCAGGATAGTTCATTGCTAAGACTTCCTTCCCTTTTTGCTCCCCTTCAAAACTGAGCAAGTTTCCTTGAGAGACCTCATGAGAAAGGGACATTGATTTGCTTGGTATGTATTTAGGTTGGCTCCTCCTTCAATGGTAACTGAGACCGGAAAACATTTGAAGAGATCATCTGCTTCATTCTAACAGAGAACAAGGTCACTGAATCAGAAAAGATAAATATATCACTTCTCCCTCTTTTTGAAATATTATCAGCCAATCCTCAAGATTCGCCAAATTGTAATTAACAAATGCATAGGTTAAATTTCTATTTTATTATGGATCGTTTATAATAATCTCTCCATGTCAAATGCAGTTGCCATCCTTTCTTGGCCACACTAGGTGAGAATTACCATCAGCTCTGGATGACTGTGGAAGAGCTGGGGGTGATTCTGTGGGGAAATGGACACAGATAAAATACAGTCAGTGAAAATGCACAATCCAAGGAGCGGCTCAGAGTAGCCTTTCCCAGACATGGCTGTCTCCACAATTTCAAAGTATATTTGATTTTAATTCCCTTTAACAATCTCCTTTAGGGGCACCTGGGTGGCTCAGTCGTTGAGCATCTGCCTTCGGCTCAGGTCAGATCCCAAGGTCCTGGGATGGAGCCCTGCATAGGGCTTCCTGCTCAGCGGGAAGCCTGCTTCTCCCTCTCCCACTCCCCCTGCTTGTGTTCCCTCTCTTCCTGTCTCTCTCTCTCTGTCAAATAAATAAATAAAATCTTCAACCCCCCCAAAATCTCCTTTAATTAAAAATGATATAACTATTTTGGGGGGGGGGGCTAGAAGCCAGGAGAGGGACTATAACTGCATCCAAATAGTAAAGGTGATGACACAGTTGTCACATGGCATAGAGTCCTCATTTTACAACACAAGTGAGGTGAGAGCAGGGCAACTGACTTAGACTATATGCACAAAGTGGGAACTTGGTGAATGTTTTGGATGACTTTATGATGCAAGCAATTGCAGGCTTGGCTTCTTAACAAGTGCAATCTTGTACACAAAGATATTTGCAGGTTAAGAATGTAGGACTACCAGTTTTCAGTGGTAGTTTTTAAATCCTGTAGTTTAAAAAATGTACTTGTTTCCCAGACAGACTCTCTCCATGCTGTGAGCAAAGCAATGTGTACCTCTCCCAGAGGGTCCTGGTTGGCTTTCTGCTGGTCCTCCCAGGGCACTGGGAGAAGGGGAAGCCAACGCTTTGAGGACCCAGTTGAGAGAAAGGCTATAGTCAGCCCTCCAAATTATAACTGCTCATCTGTAGTCCTAACCCAGCCACCCAGAGGCAGGCAAAGATGGGGCTGAGCAAGGCTGGCTGTACCTGGGGCCTGGAGTCAGGGCAGGCTAGCAGCAGGCAGGCAAGGCTCAGAGCTGGACACAGAGCTCAGAGTAAGAGGAAAGAGGGCTTTTCCTCAAAGGTTCTCTGTGTACTTGGATGACCCTGCTATTAAGTTGAGAGAATTTTCAGTGTTAAAATCATTAATGAGTTGCTATGGTAGTAAAATTAAGAGAATCCGGAAATCCAGATATAGTCACAGAAGGAAATGATTTGGGCAGATATGATGAGGAAGTGTGTTCTATAATGTATGGGGACGCTCTTGAACAGAGCTCATGAGTCTGTACCAACACCATCTTAAGTTTCACTAAAATTATTTAGACTTTTCTAAAAAGGCTTTTTAGTTTTAAATAATGTCAAGTAATAAAATAGCGTTATTCACATGGAAGTCAATTTTTACACAATCTACAATAAAAAAGTTTAGGTAGAGATGTATAAGATTAGTTCTTTAAATGATAAATTAAAACCATGGTCAATTATGGTCCACGACATCAGCAAAGAGGTGAAAAGAATGTGCACCACAGGGAAGGGGGAATCAGCATCCCATGCACCAGGCCCAGCAGGCCTTCCTGGAGGGCAATCTGGCAACATGTGCTAGAAACCTCAAAGGTGGGCCTCTAACCAAACACTCATTTTTAAAAACTTACCCAGATTAAGCAAGCAATGATGAACATGAGAAGATTTATCCACAAGGACAGTTCCCTTGGGAATTATTTGTAAAAGAAATGTGGGAACAACTGAAATGTCAATGGCAGGGAAGTGCTTTACTAAGGTCTGCTGTGATGGAACACCAGCTCGCCATTGCCGGTCAGGCTGGAGACAAATATTAAGTGACCTGAGAAAATGCCATGAGATAGCAGTCCATAAAAAGAGCCTTACAAAAGAGCATTTTCAATATGATCATCTAAAAAAGAATATAGGTATACTCTGTGCAAAAATATAGCTATACTTACAAATCCCTTAAGAAAGCCTGAAAGGATCTATACCAGAATATTGATGAATATTTAAATTTTAGTTTTTAATTTTCTAAACTTCTAAGTCTTCAGTGGACCTCTATTATTTGTAATCAGAAAAATATAAATTTTAAAAATTAAAAGCATTGTGTTTCACTATTTATACCTACTCAAGACAGAAAAATTGTGTCAAACTCCATCTATATAAGAATCTAAAATTTTAAGAAAATACTTAGTAAAATACTTTTTATTTCATGGGATCACTTATTACATTTATTTGTAACAGTCCATTTTTTTATACAAGGTACTATTTTGCTTAAACTTGACACATATGTAGTAACAAAAGGGATTTAATATCCCAAGCAGCCTCTGAATGTTTACATATGGACAGAGAGGGTATGTGCATAATACGTCTCTCAGCTGCTTGAATGCATTTAAGAAAGGGGTAAACAAATGGAATATTATGCAGCCATCAAAAGGAATGAGATCTTGCCATTTGCAACGACATGGATGGAACTGGAGGGTATTATGTTGAGTGAAATAAGTCAAACAGAGAAAGACATGTATCATATGATCTCACTGATATGAGGAATTCTTAATCGCAGGAAACAAACTGAGTGTTGTTGGAGTGGGGGGTGGGGTGGGAGGGATGGGGTGACTGGGTGATGGACACTGGGGAGGGTGTGTGCTCTGGTAAGCGCTGTGAATTGTGCAAGACTGTTGAATCTCAGATCTATACCTCTGAAACAAATAATGCAATATATGTTAAGAAAAAGAAAAAAAAGAAGAAGAAGAAGAAGGTAGCGGGAGGGGAAGAATGAAGCGGGGGAAATCGGAGGGATAGACGAACCATGAGAGACGATAGACTCTGAAAAACAAACTGAGGGTTCTAGAGGGGAGGGGGGTGGGAGGATGGGTTAGCCTGGTGGTGGGTATTGAGGAGGGCACATTCTGCATGGAGCACTGGGTGTTGTGCACAAACAATGAATCATGGAACACTTCATCTAAAACTAATGATGTAATGTATGGGGATTAACATAAGAATAAAATAAAAATAAATAAATAAATAAATAAATAAATAAATAAATAAATAAAAGAAAGGGGTAAACAGTAGCTATAGGAACCCAAGTAGGTCCCATCTTTCTCATGCTGCATCCAATGCCTATAGGCACCTGCTGGATGGTAGGAGGCAGAGAGGAAGCGGTTCTGTCTTCAGGACTTCACTGCTGTTGGGACACGATGTGATGTGCTTCCTGTTAAGGGGTACGTGAGGGGATTCCAAGAGGTGGGAGATGACACTGAGGTGCACCCAGTCAGGGGGATGGGGACAAGGGGTGGGGCTGAGGTGGAGAGACAGAGGGAGTCGGGGAAGACAGGGGGTTTTGCAGCCAACTGCAGTGGGGTGGAGAGCATCAGAGCGACTCCAGAGATAGACTGAAATCTGCGGCCACATCATCCATTATGTACAAAAACAGCACTTTCCTTCCTCTCTGCTCACCAAGAATTTGGATTTATCTGGTAGCACTTTGTACTTTTCTATCCACAATGTTTACTCGGGGCCCATTCTGTGGGTGCAGGGGCCCCTGCCCTCAGATGCTTACTGTCTGGGGTCAGACGCGCTACCATTGTGCCATGAGGTCACTCAGATGCTTACTGTCTATGCAGATTATTCTGGCAAAACCTCAAACAATAATATGCATTATATTGAAGTAGGTACATGTTGCTTTCAGCTCTCTGAATGTCCCTCAATGCCTAGCAGAGTGGTATTTAAATGCTAAATGCTATTGTTATTCTTTTTTAGATGCTGTCTTCATTATTTACTGCTCCAAAGGAAATTCAGTAGTTTCACTGATTTTTATTTATTTTTATTTTTTTAGGATTTTTTTTTATTATGTTATGTTAATCACCATACATTACATCATTAGTTTTTGATGTAGTGGTCCATGATTCATTGTTTGCGTATTTCACTGATTTTTAAATGTATACCCAGCGTTTTCTGACATGAAGAGTATTTGCCTCAATAATTCATCCTTATGTAATCTCTCTACTCATTCATTAATACAAATGTTTTATGATAGTTATATGCTTCAACAGATAGTTTATGTGATAAAATATCTGGCAATGTGAACTTGTCTTGCCAAACCCAACATTTAATAAGGGACTTCCTGTCTTCCATTTATTTTGCTTGCATCTTGCACCAAAGTTAAATGATACATGTTGGTGAGCCCCATTCCCCACCCCAAAGACACAATTCAACGTTATCTCTCTGAGCTAAGTAGAAAAAATAAACAATATGTATGCGCCTTTTTTTTACTCACTTGAGACAACACAGACATTTAGGTATTCATATATCATTGAATTCATTCGGATCTTTAAATACTTGGGCTTCAAATTCCATATGACTCTGTAAAAAACGTGCTCAAATTAGTCAGACTTCCAAAAAAGGTAAGAAAAACAAAATGTTCTGTATGTCTCCTTTATGTTTGAAGAGCCACAAGATAACTGAAGAAGAGTGGGGACAAAGAATTTGTGACACTCATTCATTTTCCACTCACAGGTGGTGACAGTGCTATGTTCCAACATGACACTTAGTCTGGGGCCACAAAGATGAACAAGAGCACATGACACAGCTTTCTAGGAGCCTCCAGCCTTGTGGCTGGATGGACAGAAACTAAGCTTAATTCACTGCAGGGAGGGTGTGATAGGATAAACACACCAGGGCTCTGGATTTCAGGAGGCCATGTGATGTCACAGCCAGGCTACAGAGGGAGTGGAGGTGTTTTCTGAAGCCGAGAAGCAGCTGAGAGCTGGGATGGGGAAGAGATGTAGTCCAGCAAGACAAGAAACCTACTCTTGGGATTTATTAACAAGTGGAGTGTGGTGACCTTAGCAAGAGCTGTTTCAGGAGTATGCTGAAGAAGCCATGGTAATGTGGGTCACAAATATACACAATTCTCTCATGACATTTGACTCTGAAAAAGAAAGCCATTGGACAAGAAATAGAAGTAGGTGCGGGATTAAGGTAAATTCTCTTCTTTCTTTCTTTCCTTCCTTTTCCTTTTCATTCTTTCCCATCTATGTTGAGACAGACAATAAGTAAATGAGTAAATATATCCTATGTAATGATAAGAACTATGAAGAAAAAAAGAGGCAGTGGTGAGGAGTGGAGGGAGAGGAATAGTTAAGATGGTGGATGGCATCTGCACAGAGACTGAATGGAGTGAGGGTCTGAGGCACGTGAAGGTCTGGGGACAGGATGCTTAGACAGAGGCTACTGTAAATGCAAAGGCACCTAGGGAGAACAGCGAGGTGGCTGGAATGGCTCTGGGGCAGGAGCACTCCATTGGGAAGGCAGCAGGAGACCATGGTTGGAGAGAGAAAAGGAGGCCCACTGAATAGACTTCAGACACACTGGGACACTGGGAGTTTTAGGCAAGGGAGGGGCACGACAGCATCTGTGTTTCCAAATATACTGGATGTTGCGGAGATTAGTCAGTAGGGGACAACTGCAGAAGCAAGAAAGCTAATGATCTAGGCTGGGTGACTGGGTGGCAGCTTGATTTAGTTTGGCAGTCACAGACATGTGGAAAAGAGGTTATATTCAAGGACATTTTGAAGTAGTAGATGATAGTGCTCTAAGAGGGAAATTAACGGTGACTTAGGTTTCTGACTAAAACTGAGTGTATAGGGGTGCCATTTGTTGAGGCAGGGAAGATGGTGGGGAGTGATTTTTAGGGGAAGAGCAAGAGTTTACTGAGATTATCTACTGACGTGTTGAGTAGGCAGCTGGAGATATCGACTAGAGATTGGGAAGGTGGATATGGTAATATTTATATATCACATCACTCCACTGGCTTAAAATCTTCCAATTAAGCCTCATGAGCTTCAAGACAAAATCCAAGCTCCAAGCTCCATTGGACTTGGCTCTGCTATGCATGTCCAGCCTCAACATCAGTCTCATACCACATTAAATGCTCTTCTAATACAGTATTTATTTCTCTTTCCCCTCTCCACCCTCATGCATATACCATTCCCTTGCTTAGATTGCTCTTCTCCATTTTGACTTGGCTAACTATTATGGCCTAACAACCCAGGTAAGCCTTCCTTGCCCCATCAGCTATTCACCAGTGATTCTATACAGCTGGATTAGATGCCCTCGACTACTGCAACACTCTACTACACATATCTCTATGGACTTGAGCACCAGGGCATGCAGGGTACTCCATAATTGGTGACTGGACTTGGACAACTTGCCTAAACTCTCTGAGCCTCAGTTTCCTCATCTATGAGGATTAATAATACTATATCCTTCAGAGGATTGTTAGGGAGATTAAATGAAGTAATATGGGGCAGTGCTTAAGACATTGCCTGGCATAGATGAAGCACTGAACAATTCATATTATAGTAATACTTATCACACTGTTGTGTAATTATTTTCACATTGGCTTTTCCCAGAGAAATATTAGCCCTTGAATGAAGACATGGAGCCTTTCATCTGTGTTTCTGGAACACATCATGCTTTTTTTTTTTTTTTTTTTTTTAAGATTTTATTTATTTGACAGAGAGAGACACAGTGAGAGAGGGAACACAAGCAGGAGGAGTGGGAGAGGGAGAAGCAGGCTTCCCGCGGAGCAGGGAGCGGATGCGGGGCTCGATCCCAGGACCCTGGGACCATGACCTGAGCCGAAGGCAGACGCTTAATGACTGAGCCACCCAGGCGCCCCACGAACACATTATGCTTTAATAATTGTTTCTTACATGAATGAATGAATTAATGAATGGGAAAAAATACCATTAGGCTACGGCAGTACTATGAAATGAACCAGCAGGTTCTTCTTCAGTTGGCTTTCTCTGCTTAGAAGCTATTCTCTGTGGGTGAATGTAATTCATCTGATTCTTCACTCACCAAACCAAGAACTCCTGGGTTGTTGATCCTACATTATATATTGGTCACTGTTCAGTGAAAGTAATATCATTACCTTTGGATCAGGAAGACATGGTCCAAAAGCTTCCAGTAGAAGGGTCTCTTCTCTCACAGCTTGTTCATAGTCTGAGAAAGACAGCTTCCCATCATGGTCATGGTCCTAGGGGGTGACCAGCCATGCATCAGTCAACATATATAATATTTATCACAAACACAAACTGTCTTTTCATGGTCAGATATTGATAGAAGAAAGGTGTTGGAAAAATGAGAGACTAAATAATGAAACAGAAAAGAACTTTTAATATTATAATTAAAACCACAATACAAATGTTTTATTTTACCAAGCAAGAAACTGATAGTTATATAATTTTAATTCTTATTTCTATCTCATTCTGGCCTGTAAATTTCAATATAAAACCCTAAATTTCCCATATTTACCATTTTTTTAAGTGTTATTTCAACCAAATCTTTAATTCCTTCATCAGGGTCTTCTTCAGATGGCTGTTTGAGAAGGCTGTTCTTCAACATATGGAACATTTCCTCCTTTGAAATGAATCCATCACCATTCAAATCAAACACTTCAAAGCAATCTTAAAAAAATAACCAATTATGAATTTGATACTATGATTAAGGGAACATTTGCTCTGGTAAAACGTTCAAGGCCAAGGTCTGTATTATGGATGTTCATGTCAACCCTGCAGGACTTTGCAATCTAATTTCCATAGTAAATGCTTAATGGACACTTGCTGGATATGGTCAACAACCCTTAGAAAATGGCTCCTTACACTCACTCAGCTATGAATAAGCATGCCAAGGAACAATGATTTGACCATTTCATCTTGAAATTCTTGGAAAACTGACAAATACAATCCTTAAACAGAGTTCACCAGAATGAATTAAGAGTTAACCAAGAATCAGAACACTCTTATCAATGTTCTCTACTTTTATGGTTAACAATTCAGGTAACAAAATATGAAAAATATTTAATACCTTAATACATAAATGCATATGTACATAGTTAGCATGTGTAGTATGTGCTTATGCAGTCTTGCTTGGCATGAATTACTCCTCAGAATCTCTTGATCTTCCTTGGTATTAATTTTTTTCAATCTTTATCATTGACTTGAATTTGCTCCATAAAAGAGGTTAATGGGGATTCAAACTGACCAACTGAAAGACAAACTTATTTTACTGGCCAGGTTGGAAGACATGGATGTAAGTTCTTTAGATACATTAATCCTAATGTACAAAGCAATAGGATAACCTGAAATCTTACATTTCATTTTTTCTTCCAAAGTTCCTCGAAGAAATACTGACAATCCATAAATCCACTCTGATACGTTTACACAGCCATCGTTGTCTTTATCAAAACCTCGGAATACTAAGAGAGAAGTACAACATAATACCTGTGCTGCATTTTTGTTCTCAGTAATATATTTACACTGGTGCTACCCACTTTTAAAATGTAGACAAAACTTCAGGATCAGATGGCCCGACATGCTCATTTGACAAAGGAGGAAACTAAGACATCATAACATTGGAAAACTCTTTTATTTAAACTTTCACACACTCCCTTTATATTTTGTGGAAACAAAGTAAATTCTGAGTATCTAAATATAGTAATCAATAATTATTAATATATGAATATATTGGTATATTAAATGTGTTGGTGTATTAACATAAAATACATGATTTTATATTTTTCTTACTCAAGAAAAGTAATGCTATTACACAATTGATAAAATGATAACCTAATTTTTATTGAAACATTTTTGATGATATAAAGAAATTCATATGTCCTTTTTTTTTTTTTCCAAAAGATTTTATTTATTTATTTGAGAGAGAGAGAATGAGAGAGAGAGAGAGCATGACGGGGGGGGGCGGTCAGAGGGAGAAGCAGACTCCTTGCTGAGCAGGGAGCCCGATGCGGGACTCGATCCCGGAACTCCAGGATCATGACCTGAGCCCAAGGCAGTCGCTTAACCAACTGAGCCACCCAGGTGCCCAAGAAATTCGTATGTCTTTTTAAAACTATTCTTTTACTTATTATATTTACTAAGTAGAAATATAAATAGTTTAGGTTTTTGGGTATAAAGTAAGGAAAACCTAATTATTCAAGCTGGGCTTTGTTCTTTTCTTAAAGACACAGAATACAGTGGGTAGAATCACCTTCCCTAAGACCCTTGCCTATGAATACACAAATTAATTTTTTATATTCAAGTGAAATTGGGAATTCAGAACATTAAGAATATGTCCAAACCCCAAACTTTTTTTTTCCAGTTATGGCTGTATCTGGCCCATTTGAATATTGTAATGTCTTCTTACCTCTGTCCATAATCATGTCATCTGTCATTCCAAATGTCATATGCAGGATATTTCGAAATGCATTACGATCTAGCCCAATGGTGATACCTTGCCGCTCTGTTACTTCTCCCACCAAATTATAAAAAAGATTTATAAGACAGTTCACTTCAAATTTATTGACTGTGAAAAAATAAAATTAAGATATAACAAAAATGCATTTTAATCTTTAATTTCTAACTTAAATTTTGCATTAATGAGTTTATAGACAACATCAAGGCCATCAAATATTTAGTTTTCAACAGAAGACTATCCTGCTTTAAGATTCATGACCCTTAATAGAGGATGACCACTACAGAGGATTCTCCACTAAAATAAGAGAAACAGCCTTCCCTCCAAACAGGAGTTGAATATTAAATTCAGTCACATTTAGGAAGAAAAGAATATTAGCTAAGTTACCTGAAAAATGACTGTGGGGTCAGATGCTAAATTTTAAAGGCAGTGGAGGTGCAATTCAAAGTAAGCAAGGTAATGCTTAAGAATGGTAACTTTTCCCCAGCATTTTGATTATAGCCATTTATGAGATTTACAACTTAACTTTTGTCCGGAAATAGATATCAGACTCCTGAATACTAGGCAACAATTTTCACTTCACATCATCAGCCTTAGTCAAATCAGTAAGCTGGATTTTGGATATCAGAATCACCTTTTTTTCTAATAAAGAAGCATTTAACCATATAACAGCACCCATTATGGTTCTTGTTGTACATGATGTGAAAATTAACAAGCAAGTACTCAGTAGTATTTTGGAGAAAGGGAATTTTTATTTAAAACAGATACACAGATATGTATACTGGTCCATACACATAAATGTATAAAGGGTGTTTATAAACCCTGAGCTAATTATTTGTGTTCCAATTCCATTTGAGGTACATAGGTGGAGGCATTATTGCCTGGCATAAAAGTGAGTTTAAATATGAAGTATAGGTGGAGGATGAGAAAGCTTTTATTTCAAAACAAAACAAAATTACAGTTCAGTACTTTTAAAAATAAGGATGAAATTTGCATGCATTTAAGGGTGAATTGTTTTGTTTTGGTTTAAATAAACTAAATTTTAAAAATTGCAAAAAAGAAAAATGATTATAGTGCAGAAAAAAATAAAATAAAGGAAGACAGCAGATAGGAATGGAGAAATCATGCCTCATCTACAAGTCAAGACAGGCTTGAGTGTGATTTCTGTTTGGGGTACCACAATTTTGGAAGAACATTGAAAATTTGGGGAAATAAATGATTTAGTTAAAAATTGGCTAAATAATAGAAAAGAATATAATGGTTATAATTTTAAAAAGAGCTGTTAGTTGCTGTAGAAAATGGCATGTCAGTTCTTCAAAAAAAAAAATTAAACCTAGAAATAACATGTAAGTCAGTGATCCCACTTCTGGGTATATACTTAAAAGAATTGAAAGCAGGGACTCAGATGCTTATTCATAGCAATGTTATTCACAATAGCCTTAAAGGTGAAAGCAATCTAAGTGTCCATCAGTGGATGAATGGATAAATAACATGTGGTGTATACATACAATGGAATATGATTCAGCCTTGAAAAGGAAGGAAATTTTGACTCATGCTACAAGATGGATGAAGCTTGAAATCATTCTGCTGAGTGAAATAAGTCAGATATAAAGGGACAAATATTGTATGATTTCACTTATATGATGTACCTAGAGTGGTGCAATTCACAGATACAGAAAGTTAGAATGGTGGTTGCCAGGGGCTTGGGAAGGGGGAAAGGAGGAGTTATAGTTTAATGTATACAGTTTCAGTTGAGAAAGATGAAAAAGTTCTGTAAATGGATGGTGGTAATGGCTGCACAATGATGTGAAAGTATTTAATATCATAGAGTTATACACTTAAAATGGCAAATTTTATGTTATATATATTTAACCACATGCACAAACCTCTAAAAATAAAAGAGCTGCTACTGATTGGAAAAGAAAAGCCTGCATAAAGAATGATGTTCATGTACATGAAATGTTAGCAGAGGGGTTGTTAATTAGCCATTTTTCCTTCTTGGCTAAAATAAAAATTAGAGGATATTACCTTAATTTATTACCCAAAGGATCCAAGATTAGCCATAAGAAAGTTTTTCTTGCTGAAATTTCTTAAATTCCAGAATAAAATGCTAAATGAAATTAAGGGAAATTTAAGAATGGATTTTCATCTTTTTGGATTGGTCTAAATGTGTTCTACAGATCATATCTGTAGAATGGTAGATTAGCTGGGCAATCACTTAAGACATTTTTTTTCTCTGATTCTACAGAATTTATCCATTTCATCCTGGTGGGATTATCATCTGTCAACCAAAAGGAAATTTGACTTTGGGGAAAAGGTTCTCTGTTTAAAAAAGTTTTTAATTATAATGTCCATGACTTGTAACTATTTCTATAGAATTTAACTAGTAATTATCAAGGTTTCTAAGGCCCACTTTAAAAATTTGATGTAAGGACAAAAATCAAAAGAGTTGACTATTTTTCCTGCCAGGTTTTCCTTTAACTTTTAATGAATTCACCTTTTGATTGTTCATAGAATGACTGTTTGCAAAACACTGCATACTTACTGAACAGGGACAAAATCAAATTCAGCATTGTGTCTATCAGTTATTGCATTGCTTTTTCAAAATGTTCACGAGATGCTTTAAGAAGATCTGGTCTTTTCCTTGAAATGGAATTATTTTGAGAAAAACAACAACAGAACAAACTCTCACCACATTATAATAACCACAATAATAAATTATAGGATGGCTTTTTGCTAAGAAGTTTCAGGTGTTTATTCACATCATCACTTTTATATACAGTGCCACTTCACTAAGGGAACACATCTCACCACTTATTACATTAGATACTAAATACAACTAGAAGGCACTGGATCTTATAAGCTCTAGAACTACAATAAACCTGTTCCTCCTTTGCACAATGGGGGTGGTACTGGGATTATGGCTTCTCCTATTTTTCAAGTGGCCATTAGTTTTGCAATCAGCAACACAATTTATAAGCTTGTTCATCAGACAGTATCTTTCTCATTCTAAACTATATCTAAGCTTCCTTGCCCAAGTACAGTTCTGTTTTTCAGAACTGAATTGTATTCAGTCTGAATACAATTCTAAAGTTATCTATGAAATTCTAAGACCATGTTTTGTGATTGGAGCAGGTATCTTTAATAAGTGCTCATTTTGTCACCTGCAAAGTCTCCTTACCTTGCAACACTACCAGCAACCTCAAAGTCCAAGTCTGGAGTTGGGAGCAGATTCTTTACTGTTTAGCTTTGTGAAACTCTTTGGTCTCCAGACACATTTCCTTGCTCTGAGATTCAGGTTTTTGTGCCATTTCAACTCATCTTTTCTAAGGATGTTCAGCTATTGATAACCATTTTCCCTTTATGGATCTCCTGGTAATTTTTCAGAAATTGGACGCTGCCAGTTTATTTGCACTAAAAAGAGCTAGAAAGCAGGTGTATGTTGGTTGTGCTAGTTTTCTTGACACCTGTGTCTGAGGCTAAAACCACACATGTCGTGTCAGTATATAAATGACGTTTCTATAATGGAAAGGTAAGTTAAGAAGAGGGTTTGAAAAGCAAGTTAGTGCATGTGTGGGAGTGTAGTACTAGCTGCCTGGATACCTGCATACTGGTCCTTAAGATCATGGGCAAGCATGGGTACCCAGCCCAAGGAACTACCATCCAGGGATTCCTTTCCAAACTTCTCTTTAGGGGACACAAAGGGGCTCCAGGGGCACTCAGACTGGAGGTGGGAAGCAGGCTGAGCAGCGAACATTACTAATACCAGGTAGAACACAAGCCCTTCCGGGAACTTCTGCTCATCCAGCACTTGATTCTTACTTACAGTGCTTGCAATTTTTAGTCAAGGTGTCCGTCAACTTCTGCAGCTTCTTGCGGTTCATGCCTGCGGTCGGGAAATGGGAGCGGCGTGTGTTCAGGGGCGCGCGGCTGACGGGACCCTTGCTTGCCCTGGGCCTGGGGCAACTGGGCCGGCTCTCCCCAACCCGGCGCGCGCGCGCGGCCCTAACTCACAGAGGGGCCATGGCAACGCCTCGGCCGGCTGCGGATTGGCTTCTGGGCGCGCGCGGAGTGCGTGCGCGGCCCTAGCGCACAACGTGGCCATGGCAACGCCTGGGCCAGCCACCTATTGGCTCCTGGGTCTGGGTGCGCTGTTCCCCTTGGAGGGTCCCTGCCAGGGTAGTTGCCGACTGTGTTCTAATTGCTGAGGTAGGAGTTTTAATTTTGTTGCGGTGTTTTGGGTTCACAGCCCCTTTGATGGACTGCACTGTGAATTAAGATCTAAAAATATGTTGTGCATGCTGCGTGAGGGATATTTTGGATGGTGAGCTTTACACCAAGCGAGGCTTAACATCTTCAGGGAGATCTGGGGGAACTCGGAGGAGCTTCAAGAATTAGCAGGTGTGCTATCCCGATCTTGTTTTGCGGGGTGTAGGAGGCTGAGGAACTTGCCCTTAAAGCTAAGCCATCCTTTTGGTTGTCAGTGTTTTTGCTATGATGCCTGGAGGTAGCCTGGAACAAGATATCTTCAAGATACTACTGGGAGCAAGAGTAACTTGGAATAGTTCTCCTCACCTTCCTTCATTCTTGGAAGTGGAAGTGGAGGTTGTCGGTAGAACATTGCCATCAGCAATGTTAAGCTAGTTGAAGAGACAGCCTCCCAAAGAGACAGGTTGACAACTGCCACTTGTCTGTGGGGTACTATCCAGCCTTGCTTTTCTGAAAAATATCCCAGTAAAATTGGTCTTTTACTTATTTGAAAGATGGGTTCTGTGTCTTTTAATGTAGGAGGACTTTCTGCTTTTCTTAACCACATATGGGACACCCTCTTTGAATTACGATAGCAATAAAATGGGTTAGCTCAGCCAGGAGCACAAAACCTACAGTATTCTCCAGTGTGTCTATCTACTTGTTTTACATCAGTGGAGAAAATGCCTTTGAAACAAATTATTTCAGGGGTGCCTAGGCGGCTCAGTCAGTTGAGGGCCGACTCTTGGTTTCAGGTCAAGTCATGATCTCAGGGTGTTGGGATTGAGCCCTGCATCGGCTTCTGGTTCAGCAGGGAGTCTGCTTGTCCTTCTCCCTCTGCCTGTGCCCCCACTCGTGCTCAATCTCTCTTAAATAAATAAATAAATAAATAAATAAATAAATAAATAAATAAATAAGAAAACAAATTATTTCATAGTATACATACTGTCATTTTTAGGCTAAAAGCAGAAAAATTCTGCCAATCATAGTAACAATCCAGAATGAAATAGTTCCAGCATTAAGGTCTCTGATTTTCTCTCCTTGTTTCATTTGTTTGTCAAATGAAGGTTTGGTATGCTGTTTGAAACCAGAGTCAAGGATGATTGGTGAAGGCAGGGACTGTGTAATCCTAAAGCAAATTCTCTGAGAACAGTTAACCAATATGAAATTGAAATGATAGTGATTATGAGTTTGCAACAGTTACTCTGGTTACATAGTATTCCTGTATGTCCTCTTGTCTAGCAGCTGTGACACGTCTAATCAGATTGTAAATAAATGGAAAGGAATAGCATATTCTAATTACACTCACCTGTGAAACTCTAGTGGCTTTTGTTCGATGACAGTATTGTAGCAAATATTTCATTTATAGAGATCGTCGCAGGACTCATTTTAAAAGACAAGGAGCCAGAGGATTGGCTGTCAGTAGTAAATAAGAGAAGCAATGGGCCCCACCTCTCTTGTGCTGGTTGGTCTGTTAAAAACCATGTATTAAGTGTTCTGATCAGATGCCCTGCTGGCACGTATTAGAGGGCAGGTCTCCACCAGCGGGGAGCACACTGATGGGCATGCCCAGGTGTTTTTACAGACATCATACACTGGGAGCTTGTTGGTGAGCATTTACAGGTGAGCTAATCAGTTCTTACGTCACAAGCTTAGGCTTAGGACCCATCAGCCATCTTCCCTTAAAGTAGAAAAAATGATATAAGGACAATACCACAGAAGGTTGAGATTAAAAGAGTTAAATCTGCTCTACCAGGCAAAAATCCTTTAACCTGCTGAGAACACTTTGTGAGGTACTCTTCTCCCATTTCTCCCCTTCCCCAAGTTCTTTCTTCCATGCTGTTCTTCTAGTGAAAAATTTCCAAATGCATTCCAAAGAAGAAGAAACTTACTTCTCTAAGACAGCGGACAAGGTATTTGTTAGGGGAGTGTTTTGTCAACATATTGGAAAACTTCAGTGCATTCATTACATTCTTGTGAAGTTTTTGAACTTAATATTTTTAGACTTTAGAAACAAGCTGTAAGCATGATAGGGCCAGTTAATCACACTTCAAAGCAAATTGACCTTCCTATTTGTAATTTTTAGTTGCTTGTGTTGAGTAGACACAGGATCACTTACCCCCTCATGGGCATTTTCAGAGTAAGGCAATTGAGACTGAACGGTTACCTCATACCAAATCAATCAATAATAGAATAATAAAAAAACTGTGTTTAATCTGTACTGTACACAAATTTTACTGTGCATGACATGATCACAGAACTTTCCAAAATTCAACTTTGCAATGGATGCTTTCATAAATAAAAAAATACATTGAAGTGACTATCAGTGCTATAAATGTTTCCTTTAATTTTGCATGCAAAACAGTCTTCCCTTTGACTCACAATTAGCTGGAATTTTGCCATGATAAATAGCTTGAACCTTGAATTGATGAAAGTCTTTTACTTCATGTGGACCTTTAATGATGGAGGCATTTGGAAACTGTTTAGGAAATGACATCATTGAATTGATTTCCAAGTAAATTACAAATCTATTATGAAATTATTTTAATACAAGGAAAATATAAAGGTTAGTTATCTACATAATTTAAATTCAATTTTACAAATTTTATTAGGTAGAAAGAATGATGATAAATTCAGAGGTGCTCTTAGGCAACTGTTTAGGTGGTTGACTCTCCACTGCTCTCTCTCGCCACTTGTCTTTGCTGCTATCTTGTGTTCCCTGCTGCCTTCGGTATCTCCAGCCATTAGGCTGTCTGCCCCAGGACTTCTACACATTCCTCACTCATCTCCAAGGGCAACTCTTGGAAGAGTTTTTGACTTCCCTGTGCAAAGTGAATCCCTCTCTACCCCATCCTCATTCTCTGCTTCAGGACCATTTCCTTCTAGCTCTTACTACAATGAGTGATTGCTTTCTTTCTCTGATCTCTCCTCCGCAGTAGACTGTAAATTACATAATCTCTTTCTCTCTCTCTCTCCCTACATTCATGACTATTTTTGTCTCTGGATTTCTGTATCTATCATCTGTCTGTCTATATTTCTGAACTTTGGCAACACAGTCCATGTTCTAATGTCTGTAGTAAGGGTGGGGAGTGTGAGAATTTGCCTGAGCAGGGATGAGCCCTGAATTCCCCTGCAACATCCCATCATGGAGAGCCCCTGTGAAGGCATAGTAAAGAAAAGCTTTTCCCAAAATATACTGGTATTCACTGGTATTAACACATTCCTAGATAACATTTTTTAAAAAACATAATCAAGTGACTGGTGGGAAATGCAAATGCCTAAGGTTAACTAAGGATATGATTCTTACATCTTTTCTTTAAGATTTTATTTATTTATTTGTCAGGGAGAGAGAGAGCACAAGCGGGGGAGCAGCAGGCAGAGGGAGAAGTAGGCTCCCTGCTGAGCAAGGAGCCTGATGCAGGACTTGATCCCAGGATCCTGGGATCATGACCTGAGCTGGAGGTAGATTCTTAGCCGACTGAGCCACCCAGGCGTCCCAGGATTCTTGCACCTTACCTGTAACTTATAAAGTTGTAAATTAAGATGTGGTACATGATAAGTAATCATTGCAACAGCTATAATGTCAGCAGGTTGAATAAGGAAGTTGTTTCTCTAGGCCTTGTAGAGCCAAACAGGAAATCCCATGGGAACTGCCATGCTCCTTCTTACCTACTGCTGGGTTATGGGGTACCCAGGGCTAGGTAATGGCAGTGATGTTATTTACATAACCACCACAGGGCCAGGTAGTTTCAAGGGAGACTAGAGTGTCAGGTAGCATTCTGGAACAAATCATGGCCCTCTTTAGCTCATGGCAAGCTTATCATCTCAGACCAGGCCTGGCACTGCCTGGCCCTGTGAGCCAATGCTGACCAGAAAATGATCTGGACCAGTCCAAATATTTGAGACCAGGCCCTGGAACCACATTCTCCACCCCCACATTCTCCACCATTGTTCTTTATCATTCAGAGAAAAGGAAGCTCCCAGAATTGCCTATCTCCAAATAATTTTATCCCCATCATACTCTCTTTCTTAGCCTAGATCTCTCTGACACCTTTGCTTAACAAATCTTTTTTGATTGTGAATGTTTACCTTACACGATCCATCACCTGTGCACAGAGCCTTCTCTTCCCCTTTCTTCTCTGAAGCCTGTTTCTTCTGTAGACACCCCACAGAACAGGCTGCTTGTGTTCTCATACACACTTGTTTGCAGCTGGAAGGAAGTCAATCCTGTTGGCCTGCATCATCTCTTTCTTCCTTTCTTTTTTATTGGCCTTCTCAGGTAATGCAGGTTGTGCTCACTGCCTCGCTGCACACCTCCTGTCTCATCCATCTGCTCCTTTCTCACCCAGCTCCTGCGTTAGCCCACTGTCTTCCATCCTGAACTTCTCCAAGCCATCCACAGGCCTGCCAGAAGGATTTACACAAATCCAACCATGTCTGCCTTCTGCTTAATATTGAAATGCTTTCTCAGTGCCTGTAAGACAATGTCCATGCCCATATAGCACAGTTTCCACAGTTCAAGATCTGGCCTCTGCCTGCTATGTAAGCCTCTTCTCTGACCAGCCCCTGTGTATTTGATGTCTGGAGCAGCTCTCTTAGACCATGAAGTTCACTGGGAATGTGGGGTCATTCTGAGTGGAGGGACAAACTAGAAGGAGCTTCATCTCTTACACTGTAGGCACTCCTGGACAGGAATGTAAAATAAACTTCTATTGGGGTGCCTGGGTGGCTCAGTTGGTTAAGCGTCTGACTTGGGCTCAGGTCATGACCTTGGGGTCCTGGGATCAAG